ATTACATTTCAAAGTACACAAGTGTGTCCTGTGGAGGGCTGTTCTTACATCTCTTCCTCTAGTGATGCGCTTCCTCAGCCTCCATAGCCAAGTGTCCATCTCTTGTGCAGCTTTCCAGAGTTACTAAATGCTGTTTCATGTATATATATATTATTTCCACACAAATGTAGGTTATAAGTATTAATCTCCTACAGAGATAAGCCACAATGTATTTAGCCCATTTTTCCAGTTTTTAAAAATATATTAAACTATCTCAGATGTAGACAGCAGAGAGCAGTTGGTTTTCTTTGACATGGTTTTTCCTCCCTTCCTCCCTTATTCTGGTTCCCTTCTCCTCCCTGGCCCCTCCTACTCTTCCCTGTCACCCCTCCCTCAATCTGTTTCTGTTTGCCTCCTCTTTCATTAAAATTAGATGTGGGCTGGAGATGGGCCTAGGAGTATGGGGCACATAGCAAAGTGTTGCAATCATTAAAGATCAGAGCTCTAGAAGGAAACCCTACCGAGTTTTTAAAACTTGATTTGTGGCTGACACAGCAAAAAGCCTGAGCGCTCCACCACCTTCCAAATGCTGGCATTCCTTCATCATTAAGGGCTATCTGAAGACATCTGCTCATCTCCTGCTTTTATTCTTGCCCGTCCTCTAACTCATCCAATGAGCTTTCTAAGCAGTAGCCAAAGTGGCCTTCTGAAAGTATAAACCATAGTAAGCTACATGTGAAACCCTTTGCTGGTTCACAATGATGCTTGGAATGAACAACTTAGTCTTGGCCATAAACACACACCCTGCCTGGCCCTGCCTAGTGCTGCCTGGCCCTCCCTGGCCCTGCCTAGCCCTGCCTGGCCCTGCCTGACCCTGCCTGACCCTGCCCCTAATCCTCCATGCCCTACACTGGCCAGACCTGTGAGGTTTAGGTAGCCTCCTAGATTCTAGGACCCAGGATGTTCCAGGATTCTAACTGCCAGAAAGACGTTGCACACCATTCCCACTGCCTTTCGTGGGTGCCATCACTCTCCACTGCTGTTTTCTAACACACAGAATCTTTCTTCCTAGTATTTACCGCAGCCAGAAGCGATTGGCATTGTCTGTCTTGATCACTCCCACATTCCCGGGTTTCTAACATAGTACAGGGCACAAAGCAGACCCTCAGCAAACACTGTGACAAGCTGCTTGAGCCTGGCCTGCCAGATGAGTGCTTGCCCCTGGGGTACCCATGCCCAGGGTAGTGTCAATCATTTCCAGTTGCATTAAAGTCTGAGAGATGAGCTCAGACCAGCAAAAAACAGTGGGAAAAGCATGTTTGAAGTCTTGGAGGCAGGTAAAATCTTGGAATGTTCTAGATTTACATACTAGAATCACCAGAGAATGTTCAAAAAGGCACAGATCCTAAGACCCAGCCTTGAGGATTCTAATTCAAGGGTTTCTAGGAGGAAGTCAATCTCATTTCTTCTGCTGGACTCTGATTCGAAGTCAGTTGATCTGTGACCTGTTGGGCCATACAGGTGTCATCCCTACAGGTAGCCTCTTGCTTTTGTCATCATGTTGGATGCTGATGTGGGAAGCTACTGAGGTGACCGCCATAAAGCACCACAAATAGCAAACGCAGCTAGCTCAGTGTCAAACGAGACTAATTAGACCCGCAAAACCCTCCCTGTCAACAGGCGGGTGAGGTGCCCTGGGAAGCAGCTGGCAGAGATTTGCCCACTTCCTGCTCCTGGAAGACACTGTCAGAGGAATCAGGGCTCCTTGTAGCAATCCTCAATCAGCTAGATCGTCAGAGTCGTTTGGGCATGCGGGAACAAGTGGCATTCATCTGGACAGAATGAGAATCTGAAAGAATTCAGGTTGTTTTTTATAGGGAGGGTTTCTTGTTTACATTTCAGTGCTGGCTCCTATGTTCTCTTGGTTGCTTTCTGTCAATTACCAAGATTTTTAAAACTTCTTTTGTTATGGCTGTTAATATACCTTGTTTTAGTCGGGTGTTGGTGGCGCACGCCTTTAATCCCAATACTGGGGAGGCAGAGGCAGGTGGATCTCTGTGAGTTGGATGCTAGCCTGGTCTACAGAGTGAGCGCCAGGACAGCCTCCAAAACAATACAGAGAAATCCTGTCTCAAAAAACAAAACAAACAAACTATATATATATATATATACATATATATATATTAGTTTTTCCTTAACTGTTTCGTTTCTGTGGCCGCCCTGAAATATGACACATTGTGATGGTTGAGAAGAATGACTAGGGGGGAAGAAAGCACATACATGTTCAGATGCATTTTTTTTAATCTTTTGATTTGTTGACTCTGGATGCAGAACTTTGGAACATGGAGAAATGTGTGTATGTATTTATACATATGTGTGTATACATAAATGCACATACATATAGAAATAGTAACATATTATATAATTTGCCCATGCTGGGGATATATTGCAAAAACACTAAGGGGATCACTTAGGCATTCACACGAAAAATATTTAGCTTTTCATATTCTTCGATCCTGCAATTTGACTTCTTAGAAATTATCCAGTTACCCTAAGCAAATAAACTTGGACGTATACAAATATGTGGCTAGTAAGATGTTCATTGAAGGACTGTTTGTACTTGTGAGAAATGAGAATAGTTTAGATATGTAACAGTTAAGGGTTAGTTACATAAACTATGAAATTTGTAAACTATAGTTCCTGGCAGGGAGATCTTAAAAAGTATGTGGTTCCACAGAAACAGTTGACCTGAACAAGGGGGAGCTCTTGACCCCAGACTGGTGACTGGGAGGACAGCATTGGACTGACCCAGACCCCCTGAATGTGGATGTCAGTGAGGAGATTTAGGCAATCTATGGGGCCTTGGGTAGTATTTATTCCTGGCATACATATGGACTTTGGCTGCCCATCCCACAATGAGGGATACTCTCTCAGCCTGGACTCTTGGGGGAGGGCCTGGGCCCTGCCCTGGATGACATGGCAGACTCTGGAGATCCTCCATGGAGGGGCCTCACCCTCCCTGTGGATCAGAGTGGAGATTGGGTGGGGGGTCGGAGGGCCTGGTGGGAGGGGCAGGGGAGAAGGGGAGGGAGAGGGAGCTGGGTTTGACATGTGAAACAAACTTGTTTCTAATTTAAATTAAAAAAGGGGAAAAAAGTATGTGGTTCTAGAATATATAATTGCCTCAAAAGTAATCCGATTTTTATCAATTAGAAAACACATAGAGCAGACTGGATGTGGTGAAGGCCTGTAAGCATGACACTTGGGCACTGGAGGCAAGAGGGTAGCTGCAAGTTCAAGGACAGCCATACCACATAGTGAGCTTGAAAGCCACATAACAAAACCACAGGACACAGGGCTAGGTGGGATACAGTCAGGGCAGAGTGCTGACTTCCATGGCCAAATCCCTGGGTTTCGAGTCCAAATTGCCAAAAGCCACAAAGGTGATAGACTAGTAGGAGTTCCTATTTCTAAAGAAATGCCTAAAATAAGCAAGAGCATTCACTACAATTGCTCTCAACAGGGAAATAAGGTGGAAAATTTATTTTCCTCTCTAGCTCTGTATGTTGTCTTCAGGTCTTCAAAAAATAGCTATATTTCTGAGGAAAGAGTTGCAAAATTCAAAGTTGAAAATAGTTAGCCAGATGATGGTGGCAATGCCTTTATTCCCAGCACCCAGGAGGCCAGCGTGGTCTATAGATCGAGTTCCAGGACAGCCAAGCCTACACAGAAAAACTGTCTCAAAAAAACAAAAGAAAAAAATAATAAGCAGATTTATAGTGGTGAAGTCTTTTCCCAGCCCAGCCCTTCAGACTCCCAAGGCCCTCTCTAAAAGCACCTGAAATGTTTGTTTTCTTACTTATTTTTCAACAATATACCTCACTGATATTTTTATATTTATCTGTTGGGGGATGGGTAGTCTTCGAGGCAGGTTCTCTAGAGGTAGCCTTGGCTGTCCTGGAACTTGCTTTGTAGACCAGGCTAATCTTGAACTCACACAGTTCAGCCTGCCCCTGCCTTCTGAGTACTGAGACTAAAGATGTGCAGAACCATGCATGGTTTTTATTTCTCCTTAAATACATTCTTTCAACTTCTTGTCACAAAAATATCCTCTTATGCCGCTGCTTTAGAGCTTGATATAGTCAACAAAAGAATAAACTTAGGCTTTCATCTGCCTGGGAGTGTATCTGAGGGATACATCTTGAAAAGTAGAATTGCTGGGTCAAAAGAAATGGACATTTGTACTTGAAAAAAATTATTGCTCCCTCTGCCCCCACCCTGTTACAAAAAAAAATCTTTCACAGTTTTTTCCCCAGTACTTTAGTGGTTTGGGGTTTTTTTGTTTTGTTTAATGTCTCTTCAGATTCATCTTAATTTATCTAGCTTTGATGGATGCTAACTAAGGATATAAACGGTTTAAAAAGCTCAGCCCCTCCCTTCCATGGGAATCCAGGGCCCGTTATCCCCATCTGTCAGGTCACAGGATCTAGGTATAGATAAGGGCAGCTCGCACAGTTTTGCTTACACAGGGGTGAATACCATAGCAAGAGCTGAGCTGTTCTCTTCAGGGGTACTGCTTCCAGAGCCTGCCCAAGAGAAGAGTGGAAGCTTGCCTTCCACCTTCAAGGGACTTCAGTTTTTTGTTCTTGTTGTTGTTTGTTTTTTATTTTGTTTGTTTTGTTTTTTAATACCAGGAGAAACTGCATTAGTTGGCTGGATTTTATTCTGATGCTTTGTGACCTGGTGAAATAAGCAACAACAGGCTTGCCCCGGAGATCCAGAGCAGTGGGTGTGGGCAGCGTGGAGTTGGACCCCGCCATGGGAGGGCATTAGAAAAGAATGCTGTTGGTTTCTGCATGGATTCTGTAGTCGGCTACTCCCGTCCGGCGTAGCAGCTGTACTGAAATGTCAGATGGATTTGTACAGCTGACTCAAGTTGCCGAAAAGGGAGTCATGCAGTAGCTCCACAACTTGACTCTGCCCAGAAAACCTTGCTTAATATAGATCCCACATGAGCGGAGCCGTAGTCACTCCTAGGAGCCCAACAAACACCATTGAGGGAGAAAATATCTCAAGGGTGGGTTGACCTGGGATATTTGTTAACTGGAAGACACTGAGGCATACTGATTCTTCTTCTCTCTCTCTCTCTCTCTCTCTCTCTCTCTCTCTCTCTCTCTCTCTCTCTCTCTCTCTCTCTCTCTCTGTCTCTCTCTTAATCGTCTTGGATTAGTTATTCTTTTCTGGTGATCTAGAAACAGATAGAGACAGTATACCATGTCGGAGCACAGCAGAAATTCAGACCAAGAAGACACCCTTAGTGAGGAGCTTAATGAAGACGAGATCTTGGCCAACTTGTCCCCTGAAGAGCTGAAGGAACTGCAGTCGGAGATGGAAGTCATGGCCCCTGACCCCCACCTCCCTGTGGGGATGATCCAAAAGGATCAAACCAAGAAGGCACCTACAGGAAACTTCGACCACAAATCTCTCGTCGATTACATGTACCTGCAAAAGGCATCTAGACGCATGGTGGAAGATGAACGAGTTCCTGTCAGTTTTGTGCAGTCCGAGGTAACCTGGGATCTGAGGGACACAAATGGCTGCAGGGACTGGGCTGGCAGGGTCTGCTTTGCAATTGTGATTTCTCGAGACTACAGGATGCGGTTCTGTTTTGGATTTGGCCACATCGAAATTGCATCATAATTATTCATTTCTATCCCAGGCTGTAACTTTCTGAAGGAAGGTATAATTGTGGGGGAAAGCTGATGGTTTCTTGTCAGTGTCTCTGTTTCAACACTGACCCTGAGGTCTCTGTGTGGAGTCCATGGTCTGTAGCCATGATATGTATTATTAATTCATAACCCAGAAGTTGCTGTTCTGACTTTTTTGACTTCTCCCTTTGAGAATGTCATCAAAACTCTACTCCCCCTTGCTCCAGACTACCTCTGCCCGTACAATATTTTGCATAGAATGTCAAAGACTCCCCAGTTCTGTGGAAATCTGGCCATCTACACTAAACCAAACCCAAGACTGAGGATGTGGTCACATTGTACATTGGGCATCAATGATGACACTGGAAATTGATGGCTGCAAAACTGTTTTTAAGAGAGTCCTTTCTTGAGGCATTTTAATCTGAAAACTAGAACTGCCATAAGCTTTACAAACCTACTATGTATAAAGCACAATTACAAATTTTAATTACATTTCATTGTTAGTTGTGTGTATGTGTGTGTTTGTAGGTCAGGTTTGGTGGCAGGTGCCTTTACCTGCTGAGCCATCTTGAGGGTCCTAAAGCACAAATTACAATGTTGCACTTAAAAATAACTTAGAAAAAAGGAGACAGATTTCCCAAGTATGGTTTCTCCTGGCCCACCTGCTAGATAAGATACAGGTGTATCTTATCACAGTGCTGTCACACTGGTGTGATCACAGCAAGTAGTGAGCAGAAACACCATCTGAACGCCAGGGAATAAGCTTGATCAAGCTAGAGCTTACCATGCGTGTGATTTGCAGACTTCTGACAGTTGCAAGTCCGTGGGTTCGAAGACAATCCCACCTGAATACCCATTTTAGGAGGGTTACAGAACAAGTGTTTCTGTTTCTTCCCCTGGTGTGCATTAAACAGCTTGGTGATTGGGCTCCCCCTGCTGGGACAGATAGGGAATGGGATAGTGCAGGTTTTAGGAGGAAGTTAAGGACTGTTACCAACTGTCAATCCAATCTGCAATGTATCATCAGCATTAAGTTCTTGCTCAGACTACTGTGCGCTATAATTCTCCACTAGCTTTCAGAATTACACCCACAAGATACAAAGGTGGATGCAAATCGATGCATGAGACTCTAGGGAACACTGATCCGAAAGACCGCCATTTCCCTTCCCAGACACAGCAAAGAGTTGTAAATCTCACCCTAATCCTGTTCCATTTTAAGGCTGGCTCTTCCTTCAAGGTGATTTGCTTCAGGGTCTAGTGAGACTAGAAAACAATGGTGTCTTTCTCAGAGCCTGGATCCAAACCAAGGTTTAAAAACAAACAAAACAAAACAAAAACACTCTAGTTTATCAGACTATTCTCATGTCCCTGTTCCATGTCATATTCTCAGGAACTGCAATGTGCATGTCAGTGAAAGTAGTGGATACTTTAGGAAGGCTAGTTACCTGTAGGGTAGAGGGAAATCATTTTCTAACCCAGTGCTTTGAGTACAAGGACTACCATTTAACTACACATAAAGACTTTGATACATGGTCTTTAAAATCTGTATCATCAAGTTTCCAAATAAGTTTTAACACTGAAAACAAAAATTAGCTCTTGGCCTTGTGAATCCTCAGGGATTATATCCTTGAATTCAACCAGTTGTGAATTGAAAGCGTGCGTGCGCGCGCGCGGGCACACACACACACACACACACACACATACACACACACAAAAGTTGTTTGTTTGTTTTGTCATGTAGACTGTATATATACAGATTTTTTTCTTTTCATTTTTTTAAACAATAAAGTATTCCTGTTTACTTGTGTAGTAGATATTAGGTGGTCTACAGACAATGTAAAATAGCACTTGTATGGGTTATGGGTATGCAGGACATATATGTGTATGTGCCTATACATATATATGTATGAGAGAATTAAGCACCCATGGATTTTGGTGTTCCAAGAAGCAATTTCCAAAGAACCCAAATTTCAAGTGTGTCTGGAAAGATATAAGCACAGCCCCAACTGTGTCTACAAACGTCCATCCTTATTTGGTTGTATTTGCTTACCATAGGGTCTTCTGTATCAGAAAGACAAGGCAAACTTAAAACCCAAGGCCACACAGTATAAACATAGGGCAACTAGCAGACCCTTCAGTTGTCTCAGGGGTCGCCTTTCTGACTCAGGAAAAACAAACAAACAAAATCAGGAATTCAGTAATGATTATTCATTGAATTATACATTGAAAAAATTTTTACACAAGGTTTGTTAACTTGATTTTTTCACTTACAATGTTTTTCATTTAATTTTTCTGTTTGTTTTATTTTTGAGATAGGATTTCTGTATGTAGGCTTGGCTAGTCAGGAACTCACTATTTAGACCAAGTTGGCCCAGAACCCAGAGATCTGCCTGCCTCTGCCTTCTGAGTGCTGAGGCTAAAATTGTGTGCCACCATGACTGGCTTCATTTAAATTTTTATAAAATCTTTTATGTATATATGTGTACATGTGTGTGAATAAGTATGTGCGTGTGCGCATGAACACAAGAAAAAAGGGGAGACAACCTCAGGTATCCTCAGCATTCCTTGTTTACGTCAGGATCTCTTGTTTATCACTGCATATGCCAGGCTAGCTGGCCATGAGCCTTCAGAGATTCATATATCTCCATCTCCCATCTTTCATCGTATTTTATATGGGCACTGAAGATTTGAACTCATGTCCTCGGATCCTCCAGCTTGTGTAGCAAGTACTTTGCCCACCAAACCATCTCCCCAGCCCTAAAAATGATCTTGTTCTTGTTCTTGTTTTGTTTTGTTTTGTTTTGACACAGAGTTTCTTTGTATAGCGTTGGCTGTCCTGGGACTAGCTCTGTAGACTAGGCTGGCCTTGCACTCACAGAGATCCTACTGCCTCTGCCTTCCAGGTGCTGGGATCAAAGGCATGAAACACCACCACCCATCTAAAAATGTTTTTAAAAGATTGGTGTGTGTGTGTGTGAAATTAGTATTAGTGCATTTGCATACAGTGCCTGAAGAGGCCAGAAGAGGGCATCAGATCTCTGGAACTGGAGTTACAAGTGGCTGCCAAGTAGGCAGATGTGGAGGGGATTGGGTTCAAGCTCAGGTCCTCTGGAAGAGCAGCAAATACTCTTAACTGCTGAGCCCTATGTATTCTAACTGTCATATACCCATCTTTTAGGAAAACACTCAAAAACAGCATGAAGTAGGAGACAAAGGTGTTAAGAACATGCCCCAGTTTTTAAAAGAAAAGCTCAATAGTGAAATAGTTGCAAATAAAAGAGAATCCAATGGGAGCAACAATATACAAGAAACAGAAGATGAAGAGGATGATGAAGATGAAGAGGATGATGAAGATGAAGAAGAAGATGAAGATGATGAAGATGAAGATGAAGATGAAAAAGCCAGAAGAGAAAAAACGGAACAAATCCAAAACAGTTCAGGCGCCTGTCAGCAGCCAACACTGAAAGCACTGGAAGAACAAAAAGACAGACCAGAGACCAAAGAAAAAACTGAGAAGAAAATAACCAAATTAGACCCTAAAAAGTTAGCTCTAGATACCAGTTTTCTGAAGGTAAGCGCAAGGCCTTCAGGGAATCAGACAGACCTAGATGGAAGCTTGAGACGCGTGAGGCAGAACGACCCTGACATGAAGGAACTCAACCTGAACAACATTGAAAACATCCCTAAAGAAATGTTACTGGACTTCGTCAATGCGATGAAGAAGAACAAACACATCAAAAGCTTTAGTTTGGCCAACGTTGGTGCTGATGAGAGTGTAGCATTCGCCTTGGCCAACATGTTGCGCGAAAACAGAAGCATTACCACACTTAACATCGAGTCCAACTTCATCACGGGGAAGGGCATCGTGGCCATCATGAGGTGCCTCCAGTTTAATGAGACTCTAACCGAACTTCGTTTTCACAACCAGAGGCATATGCTGGGCCACCACGCCGAAATGGAAATCTCAAGGCTTCTAAAGGCCAACAACACTCTGCTGAAGATGGGCTACCATTTCGAGCTTCCGGGTCCCAGAATGGTGGTAACGAATCTGCTTACCAGGAATCAGGATAAACGGAGGCAGAAAAGACAAGAGGAGCAGCAGCAGCAGCAACTTAAAGAGCAGAGAAAGCTGATAGCTATGCTGGAGAATGGGTTGGGGCTGCCCCCTGGGATGTGGGAGAGGTTGGGAGGACCCATGCCGGATCCCAGAATGCAGGAGTTCTTTCAGCCCTCATCCGGACGGCCTCTCACTGCTCAGGAAGTCCCCTTTGGTGGAAGAAAGGAAATGATCAAAAATCCACCCCAATCTCCACAGTACAAGACCGACCCTGACTCCTTCAGAGTGGTGAAGCTGAAGAGAATTCAGCGCAAATCTCGAATGCCGGAAGCCAGAGAGGCACAGGAGAAAACCAACCTCAAAGATGTAATCAAAACGCTCAAGCCAGTACCGAGAAATAGGCCACCCCCGCTGGTGGAAATCACTCCCAGAGACCAACTCCTGAATGACATCCGTCACAGCAATGTCGCCTATCTAAAACCGGTAAGTAACAGGAGGGGGAAATTGTATTTCCCAGTTGCCCTCCTCCTTCTCTCTCTCTATTTTTGAGACAGACTCTCATGTCTCCAGCTGACTTGAATGTGTAGGTAGCCGAGGGTGCTGTACCATACCATGCCCGGTTTATGTGGCCCTGGTAAATAAACCCAGGGCTTTGTGCATGCTGGGCAAGTGCACTACCAGATGAGCTATACTTCCCACGCCCTGTTAGTTTTGATTGTTGGTAAGCAGAGAAGCAACACCAATAGAGTTAAATTATTAGTTACTCTCAAGAACAGAGCCCCTTATGGCCTGTGATGATAACACTTGCAGCTAAGGTCTATTGAGCACCTGTGTAAGCTAACTGAGTCATACAATCATCCAAATTCTAGAAGGCTGGCCCAATTACTCTCTCCATTCTGTGAAGGAGACACTGAGTTAATGACATGTCTAGCAGATACCCACAAGGAAGTGATGACCCTAATATTAAAACTCAGTTTTGAGGTGTTAAGCTTTTGTTTAGTATGCTATTTTGAATCCTTGATGCACGTAGGTAAAATCAAACCGGTCTAGGCACACAGAGCTGAGAATTAAAGACCCCAGGAGCCTTCTTGAAGGAACAAATGAGGAAGAACCCAGTAAAACCCCTTTTGTAAGTAGCTGGAATAAAGGTTCTGGGGAATCAGTTCTTTATCAGCAGACAAAGCTAGACCATCTGCAAATACATTTCTGTTTGCTTTTTAGACAGCCAGACAAATGGTAAACCTCAGGTTACCATCTTCATGAGTCAACGGAGTTTAAATATATCACTGTTGTTTCAGTTTTAATATTCATGGAGTCTCTATAAAAGTCTGTGATAAAGCTGACTAGGAGAGCTGGCTTTATTCACTGAGCTTAGGTTGCAGAAATGATTTTTTTTTGGTCATTATTGCAGTGGTAGTCATACAGGCTGAAGGATCTATGGCCATAGGCTATATTGATTGATGCTTGGCTGTCATTAAAATATATATATATATTGCCTATAATTGAGCTAAGAGATTGTGTTGTCAGCATTATTTCATCACAGAGATTCCCAGTTTTTCAGGATATGAAAAACAAATACCTATGTGAGCCTGTTTTCTTTACTGAACTTTCTAATCATAAGGTAACTGCTATCATTCACATATGTCTTGAATTCCTGTCTCCTAGAAATGTATTGTCATTGTCCAATTTTCTTTTCTTTCTTTTTTTTCGGGGGGCTTCGAGACAGGCTTTCTCTGTATTGCTTTGGAGCCTGTCCTGGAACTCGCTCTGTAGATCAGGCTGGCCTCGAACTCATAGAGATCCTCCAGCCTCTGCCTCCTGAGTGCTGGGATTAAAGACGTGCACCACCAACGCCTGGCCAATTTTCTTATCAAAGGTAGTTTTCATCTGTAATTTGTAGAGCACTGGATTTGTCCTGGGACAGGTGTCAGGAGAGAGACCATCTCTTCCTGGGGCACCCAGACCTCTGCTGAGATAGGTGAGAGTGCTGTCTATGAAAATTGTCACTTTGAAGTCACAGAGGGACAGCAAATAAACAGACTAAAAGGAGCAAAAGTTTTAAAATCCATGTTGAAGGGAGAAGAGTTAAGTGGCCATCTGAGCAAAACTGGAAGGAACTAATGTTCCATCGAGACAATTCCATTCTACCCACTCACCGACATTCTTGCAGTAACTGCTCCTGTTGGTTTTATAGGAAGGGACAGGGGATCCCAGTGAATAAATTGGGTACAGGATAGACCTCGTGAAGTAGCATTTCAGGGCCAAGATTCTTTGTGTTTTACACAATGGAGGACATATCAGCTTTAGGTTTAAATTTTAGAGCAAAGAACATGAAAATAAATCCATGCTGATAACTGTAAGAGTAAACACCCTACAAAATAGGAAGGTGCTCATCTGTTCTGCAATACTATCTGTTTGAAATGTGCTTGGTCTTTGTGTGTGTGTGTGTGTGTGTGTGTGTGTGTGTGTGTGTGTGTGTGTGTGTCTACAGGTTATCTTGCCTATCTATGCTCATGGGGAGGCCAGAGGTCAACATCAGATGTCTTATTATCTATTTTTTTTAGATTTATTTATTTTGTATAGTGTTCTGCCTGTATGTATGCCTGCATGCCAGAAGAGGGCACCAGATCTCATTACAGATGGTTGTGAGCCACCATGTAGTTGCTGGGAATTGAACTTAGGACCACTAGAAGAGCAGTTAGCACTATTAACCTCTGAGCCATCTCTCCAAGCCAACATCGGTGCCTTTCTCTATTGAGAGCCACCTTATTGTTTATTTTTATTTCATGTGTACGAATGTTTTACCTGTATATTTATCTATGTACCACTCAAAGCCCTTAGAGGCCAGAAAAGGGCCCCTGACCCCCTGGGATTGGAGTTACAGATAATTGTGACCCACAGGGTGCTGGGAACTGAACCTGGGTCCTCTCACAGTGCAGCCAATGTTCTTTTCTTGTCTTTTTTTATTCTTTGTGTCTTTCACATCATTCATCTCCAACCCATTCTTTTTCCCATTATGTCTGCCCTCCAGCCTTGCAACCTCCCCCACAAAATAAAATAAAACTTGAGAGAAAAAAAGAAAAAAACTCAATCTCATCATGGAAGCTGCAGTGTGACACAGCGAGTCGTACAGTCAACCCTTTTATCCATATCTCTTTACTTGCAAATTTTCGTTGCAAAGAGTCATTGGTCTGGTTCAGGCCTCTAGTTGACTGCTACACTATAGATGCTGGGCCCTCACTGGAACTCCTCTTGGTTATCTTGTTATTGCCCTGTGTTGTGGAGATCCTGCAGCATTGGGTCTGCAGGACTGGTCCCTTCATGTGCTCCAGCAGATCGCAGATGGGGTGGGTATTGGGGTGAGTCAACTCATACGACACCTGGGCAACTACCTGGGTAGTTTCAGGGTTGGTCAGCCCGCCATCTCTCTCTTGTCCTCACCACCAGGTGAGCTCGCCTGCATCACCCTGGCTAGTTCACTCCATGCAGCAATGAGCAAGGGGCGGGCCTTGGGGCCAGCTCTACTGTGTTCCCAGGTGTGGTAGAGGAGCCACTCTCTTGAGTGTTGCAGGGACAGCTCTCCCTCTCTTATGACCGTAGGGCTGGATGGAGGGGGCAGCCAGTGTGCTTAACCACAGACATTCCAGCCACTCAGCCTCATTTTTGTTTTCAAGATCCATCTCACTGAATGTGGCAGTTGATCTTCTGACTAGACTCTCTGGGCAATGAGTGCCTGGGATCTGCCTATTTCTGTCCCATCCCAACACTGGGGCTACAGTTAATGCACCACCAGAATTTTATATGGATCCTGGGGATCTGAACTCAAGTCCCCATGCTGGCACAGTAGGGATCTTGCACTCTGAGATGGCTCCCTAATGTCATTCTTCCTGAATATAAACTAAGAAGGAACATCCTTTTTTAGTGGTAGACTTGCTTGTTAACCTCTGCTTTGAAGTGGCTTTGTACCTTCTGGTTGCTAACAGTTCCTCTTGCCTTCAGTTGCCTGGTACAGGCTGCAATGGCTATTGTTTTGCATGTATCTCACCTACAAAATACCCCATGACATCTTCTATTTGGCCCTGGAAAGTACTCTGTGAGGACAATGTGAAGACACATCACTCCACTGTTGGATATGCTTCACTCATGTCTGCTCTCCCCGGCCCCCCAGTCTGTGCCTTCTTTCCACGGAATGAGTGTCTGCTTTAAAGTCAGATCATAGAACAATCTTTTCAAAGCGTTTCAATTTTCTTTTGCTTGTCTTTTGAAATAATATTAGATTGACAGACACTCAACACCAGCACAAAGTCGTCTTACCTCCACCCATCACCTGTTCCCCAGTTGCTGCATTATTTAAATTGTAATACAGTTGCACATGAGTGATCCCAAGGCTCAGTGGCGGTAATGGTAGCATGTGCTTGCCCTGCCTATGGCTAGCTGCTGTAAAAACCTTCTGCTGCCAGATGCTTCCTCATACCAGAGGAAGAGAAACACCACAAAGCTACATCTTAAACTCAGTGACATGCTGTAAACATTAGCAGGGGTGATGTCATGACTGCCAGCACAAAGGTATGTTTGTCTTTGGTCAGTCAAACGAGACCTAGTCGGGTTCATTTTTATAAAGGAGAAATGAAAGTTTTGCGAGTCTGGGGCATGGGTGCAACAATGAGGTAAAAATTAATATACAATTTTGATATTTTGTGGGTTTCTGTTCTTTTTAAAAAACTAATATCCCTGTCCTGGTTGGGTTTCTGTTTGTTTGCTTGTTTGTTTTTGTTTTGTTTTGTTTTTCGAGACAGGGTTTCTCTGTATTGTTTTAGAGGCTGTCCTGGAACTCACTCTGTAGACCATGCTGGCCTTGAACTCACAGAGACCCACCTGCCTCTGCCTCCCGAGTGCTGGGATTAAAGGCGTGTGCCAACAACACCCGGCTGGTTGATTGTTTCTTATTTTTTTCTTTCTTTTTTCTTTTTTCTTTTTTTTTTTTTTTTGGTTGGTTGTTTTTTGTCAACTTCTCACAAGCCATAGTCATTTGAGGAGAAGGAATTTCAATTGAGAAAAAAAAAAATCAAAAAACAAAAGCCGGGCGTTGGTGGCGCACCACGCCTTTAATCCCAGCACTCGGGAGGCAGAGGCAGGCAGATCTCTGTGAGTTCGAGGCCAGCCTGGTCTACAGAGCGAGTTCCAGGACAGCCTCCAAAGCCACAGAGAAACCCTGTCTCAAAAAAAAAGAGAGAGAGAGAGAAAACCCCCAGGAGACTGGTCTGTGATGTCCCAACTCCCTGTGGGTGTTGCCATCCCTAAGCAAGTGGTCCTGGGATGTGTGTGTGTGTGCACATGTGTGTATACATATTCAGAATGAGCCCATGGGGAGCAGGCCAGCGCATGTGGTCCTGGGATGTGTGTGTGTGTGTGTGTGTGTGTGTGTGTGTGTGTGTGTGTGTGTTTGTCTGGGAATTGAACTCAGAACTTTTGTTTTGTTTTGTCTTTTTGGAGACAGGGTTTCTCTGTGTAGCTCTTGCTGTCCTGGAACTTACTCTGTAGACTAGGCTGGCCTCGAACTCACAGAGATCTGCCTCCCAAGTGCTGGGATTAAAGGCGTGGGCCACCACTGTCCAGCTTGGACTCAGAGATTTGCACATGCTGGACAAATGCTCTCCTACCAGTTCCTTCTGCATTGTGACCTCTGTGGGGCTGAGAAACAGCCTCTCCAGTTTTTTTTCCCCCCACACTTGCTACCTCCAAACCACCTTGCTTCATTCCCATTTATTGTTTCCTGAAGAAGTTTTTAGTTTGCTCTTGCTTTTAAAGTCTTGCCCAAGAAAGTGTGCTCCTTAGGTAACAACCAACTCCATTTCCCTACAAGTTAACAACTGTCAATCACTCTGAAGCCAACACAAAGCAAGTTTCCCCCTCCCCCACAAGCACATGGTTTTCTTTAATCTATCTCAACGTTTTGGTGATTCATTTGCCACCTACCATTCCAGAGAAACCTTTGTGCCTTTCACTGAGATGAGATCCCCGTTCTCAGCAACTGTGTAATTCACTGGTGCTGAGCGCATGTGGAGCAAAGCCAAGTTCTCAGGCCAAAACTGACTGAACATTCATTCCACCTCTCTTTGGGCCCACCTGCACGTCTAGACCGTTCCCAGCCCAGTCAGCAAGGGAGTAGCAGTGCCGGGCTTTCCCTCCAGTGAGACTTCAGTCTGATAGCATCGTGTGCAGCCCTGGATCGCAGAGCCTCAGTGGTGCATGAGCAGTTGCAGAGTTTAAGATGACAGATAGGAGCATTCATCTCTGTCCCCCCCCCACACACACAGATGCAGATGTGCTAGGATTGTAAGATTTATTTCAATGGTGGTTATTAAGACTTTTATCTTGAATCCAGCTGGACTGATGGGGTTGTCCTTCTGTATATTTCTATCTTACTGGTTGATGAATAAAACCGTTGACTAATAGGACAGCAAGATAGGTGGGACTAGAAGATGAGGAGGATTATGGGAAACATAGGCAGAGTCAATCACCATGTAGGATGCCAGAGGAGTTGCAGGTCCCCAGACCTTTCTCTGGCAAGATAAGACCACGTGGAAATACTTAGATGAATAGAAACAGGTTAATAATTAAGACAGAGCTATCCAATAAGAAGCCCAAGCCAACAGTTTCATAATTAATACAGTGTCCATGTGTTCATTTGAGGCTCTAGGCAGATGTGAAACCGGGCAGGAATTCTGTAACACTGGAGTTAGAGAGTAGAGTTACAGAGTAGAGAGAAGATAAGCATTAAGGAATTTGAGAGATGTACACTGTGTCCAGAAGGGCTCTTACCCTGAAGTAGATTATGATAGAGGTATATAAAGAGTTACAGATAACAGATACAGTACATACTGCTGGCTTGATTTTGTGTCTAGGAAGCAGTATATGACATGACTCAGAAATTGAATCGATTTCAGTGGGTAGAAGAAGAGATCATTTGAGGCTATAGTGTCCTATGGATGCTGTAAAGTCATGGTCATTGAGATACGTTCCCTCAAATAAGCAGCATTAGCATCACTAGGGAACTGGTCAGAAGAGGGACTTCCCCATCTAAGACCTACTCAACCAGAGACTCCAGAGTCATGTCAGAGGCCACCCTCATGCATCATTCCTTGGTGCTACCCACCTTGTTTTGTGAAACAGGCCTGATAAGCTTGATAAGCAGTCAAGGGTTGCTGGCCAGGAGCCCCTGAGATCACTGTCTGCCTCTCCAGTTCTGAAACAACCAGTAGGTGCCATCACACTTGGCTTTTTTTTTTTTTTTGGCTTGTGGAGATCTAACTCATTTGCCACACAGGCACTTTACTAATGAAGCTAGCTCCTCAGCATCTAGAACACAGACAGACAGACAGACACACACACACATTATATTTATATATATATATATATGTAGCATATATATGTTATATGTATATATAACACACATATATATGTTATATGTATTATGTAGGGGGGTATGTGCATGTGAGTGTGGGTGCCTGCAGAGGTCAAAAGAGAGTGTCAGATCCTCTGGAGCTGGAGTTACAGCTAGTCATGAACTGCCTAACACGGGTGTTGGAAAATGAATTCTGGTCCTCTGCAAGAACTGATCTCCACAGCTGGGCCATCTCTCCAGCAGTTCCAGGTGTGTGACCTCAGGGAAGTCACTGTCTTCTCAGAGCCCTTCCCTTCCTTGCAAGGCTACTGTAGGACACAGTGAAATAATGTTTTGCAAAGTAAGTGTCCTGGTTTATCACTCACCCCCACTATGTAACTAGGAACTGGAAATTCTTTACTGTCAACTGGTACCAAGCTCTGAGCTTCTCTGGTTCCTGTGATTTGTTTCACCACAGGCTCACAGATCTTAGAACAGCCGTGGCACTGGTTAATGCCCAATAATACTGGTTGTTCTACCTTTATCATGAATTTGGAGCATTCTGCTACCAACATATCAAATGCCTTCTGCATCCACCAAGACATGTAAGTTTTATGATTTTCGCTGTGAACCTCTTAAACTTCCCAGGACTCATTTTTCTCTTCTTTAAATGCTTCAACCACAGGTACAGCTGCCAAAGGAACTGGCGTAAGAAGCAGCAGTGTCGTCTAGAACAAGATCTGGGCGGGAGGCTGTTTCACTAACAGTGTGGGTGACAGAACCGGGAATGTGGCTCCATACAGGCTGGGGATTGTTTGGACCAGGACAAGACAGAAGGGGAAGGATACAAAGTATCAACGTTCACAGGCAATATGTTCCAGTTCTAAGGGTTTGACTGACTGACTTGGGTGAAAATTGTAGAGTGATGCTTCTAGAAGCCGAAGTTAAAATTTTTCGTAAACACTCACTTTACTATTACTTCTTCCGGTAAATAACAATCAATCTGACAAAAGTGTTAACTGCTGATTATACCCCCACTCCCATTTCTCTCTCCTTCCATCTCTGTTGTCTTCCACTGCATGGCATCTGAAAGGGAATAAATCATGTTGAAAGCTCTGAGAATGGAAAGGGTGAAGTGAGTGCCTGGGCCTTCCACAGCTTTGGAATAAAGAATCGTTTGCTAGCTCCCTGGAGAACCAGGGAAAGCCTCCCGTCTGCCTGTACTGCCACTTACCTCACTGCTGTAACAAAACACCAGACCAAAGCAACTTACGGAAGGGAGAGTTTACTTTGGCTCATGGTTTGAGGGTCCATCATGGAGGGGAACCATGGCAGCAGTAGCCTGAGGCAGCTGGTCACATTGGTCACAGGAGGCAGGGGGAGATGGATGCAGTATTAGTGGTGTCCTCTTGGATGGTCAGCCTGGCACCCCAGGCTGTGAATGGTGCCATCCACATTCAGGGCTGGTCTTCTGTTCTCAGTTCAGCCTCTCTGTAAGGTCCCCCAAGACATACCCCGAGGTGAGTCTCCTAGGCAGTTCTAAATCCAGTCCAGCTGTCAGTGAAGATTAGTTAGCTTAGCCTGCTAACTCTGCTCAGCATTCTTCCTTGCAGACTCCCTTGGTCCTTTTCTACCATATCCTGCTTCATTTGTCAGAGTATTTTATCACAACATTAGGAAAAGAAACTAAGATGTTATCTCTCCAGAACTGATCTCTGGCCATTAGAAACTGCAATGGGCATCTTTTAAAAATTCAAGCTATCACTTCTGGCAAATTCGGAAATATCTGAGTATCTTTTAGAAAATTCAAGCTATCACTTCCGGCAAATTCATGATAGTCAAAATGTATCACATAGAAAATAGATGGGGTTTAAATGTGTATAAAATCCACGGCAGGTTTAAAAGATCCTGCTAGATTCAGTTGTTTGCCTAGCTTCAAATAAATACCTATTAAGGTTTTATTAAACAGCTTTCAAAATGCAAGGTAGACATATTAGCTGTGTGGTGTGATTTTAAGTTTTTCCAGGCTACCACCAAGATGCCTAGATATTTAATAATGTTGAGTTGACATGCATTGACTAAAGTTTCACTAAAATTTTATTCTTTTTATGTGGTTGATGCTGTAGACTCTAAACACTATCTGAAGCTCTGAACTAAAGAGAAGATTTCAGATCGCCTGGCACTAAAGCACAAAACATCCAAGCTGCCAAAATGGCTGTGGATTATTTAGAACACACAGAGGGATGATTTGGAAAGACGACATCAGTTCTCTTTTCAATGAGAGGAAAACCTAAGTGTTTTCTATTTCACCTGTGAAGTCATTAAAATGGCAAACACCCATTTCTCATAATCTGTTTCTAAATATATGAGCAATAAAGGGCTGAATGCAATGAAATACGTATGCTCACACCATTCCAACTCTAATGTCTATTTTTAAAGTGAACGGCTGTTACAACTGCTGCCTACAACTTTATTAGATTCAGGAGCTCTTTAAATTCTTTTGGTGCGGCCCTCCAGGGAAGCTTTGCAGGTTCAAAAGATCAACTGCTCTTGTCCTCTCTGAGCTCCTAAGGAATTAATAAAACACACACTCATTTCTTTCTTTCCAAATGCTCTCATCTATTTAGAAACCAAGCAACTGGGGCTGGAGAGGTAGCTTGGAGGTTAAGAGCACTTCCTGCTCTTCCAGAGGGCCTCAGTTCAGTTCCCAGAGCCCATGACAAGTAGCTCACAGCCCTGGGTAGCTCCAGCTCCAAGGGTCCAATGCCCTCTTCTGGTCTCTGTGGGCAACTGCATGCACATGGCATTGTCTCTATTAAAGTAATAAAAATAAATATGTAAAAAATCTAAACAAAAGCTGATTGGTGGTTGTACACGCCTTTAATCCCAGCAGAGGCAGACAGACAGATCTCTGTGAGTTCAAGACCAGCTTAGTCTACAAATCTTGCCTGAAAACTCCCACCCCTCACCCCCCCCAAAAAACCACCAAAATACCTAAACAATGGAAACATTATTTTGGACACCTTTTATTCATTGTAGTAACAAAAATGTGTCATATTAACAGAACTCAAGTTTGGTTTTATTTATTTATTTTAACAAGTCAAGAATAACAGAAGTTACAGAGTTGTAACTACTCCCCACCCCCACCCCAGGAGGATGACATTTAGTTTGCAAGAAATACCTTCTGGTGAAAGCATATTACTACCCTTTAAAAATTTTACAAAAATTTAACAAAACATTGTTCTAAACAGCTACTTTCATATTCGTAAACAAAATATAAACAACTGGCTGATCCAGTTTCCACTGCACATCAAACAGGCGCCAAAGGCATAGAAATCACCTCTGATTTTTAAACAACAAAGATAATAGCACTAAACTAACATATCAAACACACCATAGTCATAGGCAACTTTGGAGATGTCAGACAGGGTTAGAAACAGACAGACGCGGCATCCTGTACTTTAACTGACTTTTCACTTACTCGGTATTGCCTCCAGATTCTACCATGACTGTTCGCCTACATTGGTACTGTTGCTGTCCAACCCGAAATTCTCTTTCAAAAACACACTGGAAGCTTCAGATATAACAGGAGAGTGGGTCTGTATTTTTGCCGTTTCTGAGACCTCCCTTGGGTCATAGCAGAGAGATCTTAACAGGTGGGCCTGTGCATGCATGATGCCGTGGGTAGCTGGGTGGTAAGGCGTGCACCTTCTGTTTCAAAACCACAGACAGAAAACGGGTCTGAACGAGGGGAAAGTGCAACCGGATTCCTGCTGCGGCCCCATCACCAGGCTGGAGGGTTTACTCCCTCGCTTTGTTGATGTAGTCAGCCAATTTGCTGATGCTCTCTTCCTGCTGTTCCAAGGCGTCCAGGATAATGCCCATTGGTGTCTTCTTCAGCCCTATTCCCTCCATCTTATTTTCCAGCTTGTTTTTGAGGTTTCGAAGTCTCAGGGATGCATGGATGAACATCACTGGAAGAAATGAGAGCATCAAAGCAAGAATTCCCTTTACATTTTTAATTATGTAAAAAAATAAAACTAGCTGGGCGGTGGTGGCGCACACCTTTAATCCCAGCACTTAGGAGGCAGAGGCAGGCGGATCTCTGTGTCTGTGGGTTTATGCACATGAGTACAGGTGCCTGCAGAGGTCAAAGCATCAGGTCCCCATGGAGCTGGGGTTATAGGTGGTTGTGAGCTACCCAGTCCTCACTCATTGTAAATAAAGTAAGTTTTCTGGCCCCAGTTTTTTTTTCAACTTTTAAAAATTGCACCTATTGGGATGGAGAGATGGCTCAGTGGTTAAGAGCACTGACTGTACTTCCAAAGGTCCTGAGTTCAATTCCCAGCAACCACATGGTAGCTCACAACCACCTTGAATGAGCTCTGATGCCTACTGTTGGCATGCAGGTAGAAGATTGTATACATAACAAATAAAATAAAAAATTGCATCTGGGCTGGAGAGGTGGCTTATAGGTTAAGAGCACTGGCCGGGCGTTGGTGGCACACGCCTTTAATCCCAGCACTCGGGAGGCAGAGGCAGGTGGATCTCTGTGAGTTCGAGGCTAGCCTGGTCTACAAGAGCTAGTTCCAGGACAGCCTCCAAAACAATACAAAGAAACCCTGTCTCGAAAAACCAAAAAAAAAAAAAAAAAAAAAAAAAGAGCACCGACTGCTCTTCCAGAGGTCCTAAGTTCAATTCCCAGCAACCACATGGTGGCTCACAACCATCTACAATTCAATCTGGTACTCTCTTCTGGCAGAACACTGTATATGTAATAAATCTTTTAAAAAATTACATCTATCTATCTATCTATCATCTATCCATCCATCCATCCATCCATCCATCCATCCATCCATCCATCCATCCATCCATCTATCTATCTATCTATCTATCTATCTATCTATCTATCTTGCTCAAGGAACCGTGGAAGTAATAGGCAACTCCTCCCACCATATGGATGTGAAGAACCAAACTTGGATCCTCTGTACTCCTGAGCATTGAGCCATTTCTCTAGCCTAAGAATTCCCCTTTTCAATCAACATGGTCCTCCTTCGCACTCCTCACACATATCGTAAACGGTCTCTTCTAGCTGTCAGTCTGCTCATCTTGCTGATCCAGGGCTTCAGGTGGGTTACATAGACGTGAAGCTACTTTGTCAAGCCACACGCATTGCTTTGTGTATGGAAGAAAACACGTAGTCCCTTGGATGAGCTCTGATCTGACCACCACATTCTTTCTTCCCCACAGAAATCCCCACCTTGCAAATGTTACTTAAACAACATGACATTCGACATACTTGTCTACCAATGTGATTCCAACCTAAACATGAATCCACTTAACCAAAGTTTCTCAGGAAGGATTTTTGTCTTCTAGGTACTTTGTTCCCTGAATGCCAGGATGCAGGTAAACCCCACTTTAATGTGCTTCCATAGAGGCATGTTTCCTAAAGTATCATCAAGAATGACCTGACATTGTTTACTATGAAATAGATTCCATGGTTCCTCCTTGTGGACCTCTTGTCCCAAGACCTTAAGAGAATGGGCTAGAGAATCTGTATTTTAAGACACTCTATGTGCTCTATAACAGTAGGGTTTTTTTCCCATTTATGTACAAAGTACCCAAAGAGCCTATTAAATAGGGCTGGGGAGTTGATAAGATGGCTCAGCATGTAAAGGTGCCTGTCTCCAAGACTGGGGACCTGAGTTTGATTCCCAGGAATCACATGGTGGAAGGTGTTGTCCTCTTACCTCCACAGATTCTTGAGAAAGACAGATGATAGATGGTTGATACTAGAGAGATAGATAGATAGATAGATGATAGATAGATAGATAGATAGATAGATAGATAGATAGATAGACACATTTTTTAAAAGTTAAAAAAAATAAGACCAGAAAATGACTCAATGGACAATGTGTCAGGACTGGAATTTGGGTCTCTAGGACCAATCTAAAAGCCAGGTAGCATGGCAGCCAGCTTGTAATCCCAGCACTTAGAAAGCAGAAACAGCATCCTCAGGACGAATGGGCTAGATAGAATAGCCAATTGTTTCATCAAGAGAACCTGCCTCAAATAAAGTGGCGAGCAATGGAGAAAGACTCCTGCTGTCAACTTTGGGTTTGAATGCTCACCCTTATACATGGGGAAACACAAGTATGCTTCTGCATACACACATGCCCTACATAGTAAAAACATAAATAACAGGAATCTA